CTGGTATCTGGGAATATTTCTTGCCTATTGACCACACCCTCAATAATTTTTGCTTTTTTAAAAATTTTTGCAATATTATTTTTTTTTCTTCCTGGTCCCCACTCTCTCACTATTTCTAACTCCACAATTCCATCATCCCCAATTTAGAATTTGTTAGCTTGTTTGTGTCCTCTCCTTTTAGAAGCTGCCAACTGCAAGTGAGAACAGAAGTATACCATACTTAGGTCTGAATCTGGGGCAATACAGAGTGTTGAGAATTGTGTCACACCACCGGTTACACAGCCCTAGGAGGACAAATGTCACTCTGCCCACAGCTTGTTGGCCACCCTAGGTTTATGACTGCACCCAACAACAGTGGCCTAGGCAGTACAGTCCTGCTTCAGGCCTGTGGATGAGGAAACTGTTGCAGAACTATGTAGTGAACAGCATTAATACTAGAGAGTCTGTTCTCTGATCATCTACCTGGTTCACTTTCACTTCCAAGGCAACAGACGGTAACTCCAAAGTCCCACAAAGTCAACACCGAAACCACAAAGTCCGTGATCTTAGCTGATAAGCACGTGTCACTATAGTGGATCCAGATGTGACCCTCCCTTGATCTATAGATACATCAAAAAACTGGATGTCCCACCTCCCAAAAATCTACAGTGGCTGAACAAAAACAGGACAATCAAAAAAAGTATGCCTGCTCACAAATAGGAGGAGAGTGCACAAATGTCATTGGTGCCTGGGACTCTGAAGTCCTCCGAGCAAGGGCACTGAGAAGAGCCTACAGTGGTGGCAGAAACGTACTTTAACTGGGCGCCGCTTCTACTGTCCTCAGTGCTGGTCTTCAGCCTCTTTGATTCTTACCTCTGCCTCCGGAGAGGTCTTCTCTCTCCCGTTGTCCTGGCGCACCTGAAGTGGGCAGCGAGGGCTCTGATGTCCCCAGGGGCTGGTCAGTTTCCCCAACCTGCTTCATGCCTATAGAAAGTTGGAGACCCAAGAGTTAAGTTGCAAGCAATCATACCTGCTTTTAGCCCAGACCGATAGTGCCAGAAGCCATGAGCTCCACCCAGAGTGACTTGGTAAATATGCCTCTCTGTTGACTTAACTGTGGGTCCTTGAGCCTCTCAGGCTTAGTGTGAGAGGCATTTTGCCTTGAGCCGTATTGTCCGATCAAATGGCTATACCTTCTATCACCTTAATCCATCGGGAGGTTTTAACACTGGACTTGACAGCCAAACCCTTGATTGCATTCTTTCTGCATGACTGAGTTTTAATCAACCTTTGTTGTTCAAGGAATTCCTCAGTATTATCTTTTACAGGTCAGGGCTGAGAAGCAATTTCTTCTTCCAATCCTACAATTCCTCACATTTTGGACTTACTCTCAGCTCTTCCATTTCTGCTCACACACCGGTCAGTTATTTCTGAGCCCACCTCTTCATCTTTGCATTTCCCAAATGCAGCCACAGGAACCAAGGCACATGGCGAACATTCTATTTCCCAAACGCTTTCCTTAAGCTGACAAGGTCAGAGATAGATTTCTTGCATTGCACATGATCACATTTGACATTTGATTATGTGTTTTCCACTACATAACATGGACGATTATCATTTTAGTCTCTAATAACAGTTTCCTCACCACCCAAGCAAATGTCTTAAAGCAGTGTTAAACATGTTGCTCTGTCATAGCATTTGGCTTCTCATGCCAAATTCGTATCAGGTAGGACAGGCTAGCTTAGGCTGTGGATGAGAGAGGAAGGAAGAAAGGAGGGAAGGAAGGAGTGAAGGAAGTAAGGGAGAGATAGAGGGAGGAACCAAAGAAGGGAAAAAGAAAAAAAAAAGGAAAATCTACTAAATCTCAATCCTTTAAGAAAACAAGCGTTGTAGTTTTTTGCTCGCCTTGTATCTGCATGTAAGGGAAATAACCTGCCAGGACAATCTTACAATATTATTGCTTATATATTTGTTTCCTATTTGTAAAGAATTACCACACATTTGATAGCTTAAAACAAGGCACATTTATCATCTTGTAGTTTTTGTGGGTCAGGGCCTGGGCACCGCCTAGCTGGGCCCTCTGCTCAGGATGTCACAAGATGGCAAACACGGTGTTAGCTGGCCTACGACTTTTATGAAACTCGTGGTCCTCTTCCCAAATCACATGGTTGCTGGCACTGTTCAGTTCCTCGTGGGCAGGGGGCCCCTTTCGATTGCGGGCCCTAGCCAGGGCCCGCCCACATGTCCTGGGAGCCACTCACAGCTGTGTGAGCCGCTGTCTTCCGTGGACTGTGCAGGACCCCTGCTATGCGAATGGCCAAAGTGCTGGAAATTTTATGTAGAACTTTTTTATAGTAATAAGTAATAATCTAGTTTTTTTTTCATGGATTCATCTAGTTTTGAAACAGTTATTGATCGCCCACTGCATCTTAGCCCTTAGCTTTGAAGTAGAGATAACACAATATTAAGACAAACTAGTACTTTAATTTCATTTCATTAAACTTAAAGATAATCATGTAGCCTCTGAAGTGTCATACTTGATAGAAAAGACAATGAGATAAGGACTTCTTTTCATGTCCCGGAGGCCTGTTCTCCCCTTCCGTCCCAGCATGAGAACTCTTTAGTCCTAAGGCACAGGAACGTGACTATGTTGTGTCTCTTCCAAGAGGTGACTGGACACCTGGGGCTCTGGTGTCATAGGCAACTCTAATTCTGATACATCTCCCCATCGATGCCCTTGTCATTGTTCAACTTAGAGACGTCAGTACCCAGGATGATGCTTTGCCCAGTATCCTGGCTTATCAATTTCTCAGCCTTATCAACCCCAAAGACCTGTGTTTTCTGCCTGACCTCACCCAGTCATCCACATCCTTATCTTGATTCACCACAGTGTGAGTTTATTTCGTAAGCTTCCCCCACCACTTGTTGTTAAAATGTCATAACACTGTCCCTCTGTTCCTCCCAGCTGAGGACCCCACAGGCCTCTTCTGCCTTTGCACCTGCTGCCCCTTCTGCAGGGGTATTTTCTACTTATTTGTGTGTGACTGTTTCTTCTTGGCTTAAGTATCACTTTCTTTTCAGCAAACTGTAATTTTTATTTTTTTTAACTTTTCAATTACAGTTAAAATACAATATTATATTAGCTTCAGGTGTACAACACAGTGATTAGACATTTATGTAACTAATGAAGTGTTATTTTTTCCAGAGAAGTGGTGCATTCCTTGCCTGTTGGAGATAAAGTACACCATTTTTCTTATTATATTTCTTAACAATACTTTTCATTATCTAAAATTAATTATTTCCCTCCTACAGAGTAAGGAGTTTTCTGGTGGTTTTTTTTTTTCTGATTTTTCTGTTTGATATTTCCCCTCCATTTTTATTGTTGACACTAATACAAATGTCCCCATTTTCCCCCGTTGTCCCCCTCCTCTCAGCCCCCACACCCCCTGCCTGTGCCCCTCACCACACGTTGTCGGTGCCTACGGGTCATGCACACGTGGTCTCTGGCTAATCCCTTCACCTTCTTTCATCCATTGCTTCTCCCCCTCCCCTGCCCTCCCCTCTGACAGCTGTCAATCTGTTCTGTGTGTCCACGCCTGGTTCTGTTTTGTTCATCATATTCCATATATTAGTGAGATCACACAGTATTTAAAATGTAGTCGGGTCGAGTCAGTATTATTGCTCAAGATTTATACACAGCAGGGTATCAAAGCTGTATGAACATTTATGATGAACTTCAAAGATGTTTTGAAAATTGCTCCAATTATTTCCTGATATAAGAGAACACTTGTGAAGGGTCCAAGCTAATAAAATTGGGAAGTAAAGTGGGACTTCTAGAATTGGATGGATTATCTGAGCATGACTTTGTCATGCCCGGATGTGGGAGCATTGGAAGCCGGCCACTACAGGCAGCCCCTGCGCCTTGGGGGAGTGGTGAGAAGCAATGGGGCAGCGTTACCCGTATTCCTTACACAGAGCATTTCCCCAAGTACAGATCCCGCTCCTTCGGCAATTTGTAGAAAGGCCTCGGGAAGGCAGGATGTGAGCTGAGGATGGCAATCTGGAAGGAGAGCTTTTTTTTTTTTTAATGTGAGATGAACGTAAGAGATTTTGTTTTCCTAATAAAAACAGAGAGAAGCTTGGCAACTATGATACCATCTCACAAATCCATAAAGAACTGGCAGTTTATGCAATTTTAAAATACCTCAGGAAAATGTTCATGCGTATCTTTTAATTCTGAGTCATTTAACTTGCATTTAAACATGCTAGCCTAGCAAAATCATATCGGTAATTTCACTGGTACAAATGAAATAGATCTGAATGGAGTGGGGTTTGGGGAGGAGAAAGAAAGAAAATTAAAATGATTGCCTTCAGGAAAATAATACTTATATAACATAAAAAAATTGTTTAATAACTTTACCAAAAAGTGCAAATTCTTTTTAAAGAGTTTGAATTTGAGCTCTTACTCCTAAACCCTCTTATACAGTTGTAGAGGAGTTAAAACACCTGCTACCATGATCAAAGACCCTGAGAATTTCATGTCATCCACTGACCTCTAGGACCTTGTAAGAACTCACTTAATATCTATCACCCTTGGTTTCCTTTTCTAAAAAAAAAAAAAAAAAAATGGAGTTAAATCAGTAGTTCTTAGCTATTTGGGTTTCAGGAAACAGTTACCAAAATGGAGGCTGAGCCCATCTGGGGCTGCTGTTTCTTTTTAATAAGGACATAAAGTAAGCTGACATGCAAACTGCCGTCTTGAGTCAGGGTGCAGAACTTTGCCACAAGACATTGGAACACACACTGCACACATTAAAGAACTTTTGGAAAGTCTGCGTGGGAAATGACAGTGTCACTGGGTCTATTAAGGCATCATTCTGCTGGCACAAACCAGAAAGAGAAGTTGGGCTGTGGTAACACTAGTCTTTATCTTAGAGACCGAGAGCCACTGTGCAAATTTGTAGTATCATTTCCCTAAACAACCCCGGCCCGAGCTGGGCTTCGGTTCTTCACTTCTACATTTTTCTGTCTCTACAGAGGCAGAAACACAGCTCTTGAAATTCTTTTTTCTCTTCAATTTTAAGCATTGCTGACAGAGTTAAGATAGCATTTCCTTCTATCATGGATAACAATGGAATAACATTAACAAGTGGGAGATGTAATAAATTAGACATCTCTTCTTTTTAGAGAGAAGATGGGAACATCATTGATTTTCTTTTCTCAATTAAATATGTGTGAATCAAAGGAAAAAACTTTTTTCAAGCTAATACATGGTTCAGCAAAAGAAGAAGCAAGCAAAGAGGCCAAAATCAGGTAAAATCATAATTTTTAAAATTTGCCTTCTATTTTTAGAAAGCCTTATTGATGAATATTTGTTAGCCTTGTTTTTAATTGAAAATATATTGATTGTACTGTTACAACTGAAAATAAGTTTTTATTGGAAGTAGACAACTGTTAGCTCTAGTGTTTTCATTTAAGAAAAAGTACAACAATTTTAACTGCACAGACTAGTAACAATCTCTATTGAAATAGAACTTTAAATAATTGTAGTCACTGAGGGAAAAAACAAGTATGTCACATATCCTAATTCCTCTACAAACATAGTGTTTAAGGGAAATTCTTTAAGAAAAGCACTGTGAGTGTGGGCGGTGGGTGAGAACGGCTGTTCAGGTAAATCCTCGGTTCCTGACAGCCACAAGGGGAGAGTCTGCCGTCCCGCATTTCCTGAGGCGAGTACCCTTTCATCACAGAGCTAAGGAAAAAAGAAATCGGCTAAGTCTTCTCCTGCAGAAAGCTGAGTTTCATGACGAGTCGCACCCCAGCAGACCTGGGCACTTGGCCAAAGAAACAAGGTGAACGGCTTTTCATTATTTGGCAGGGGGTGGTGGAGTGACTGTGCTGATCCTGTCATGAAAGATTTCAGGAAGAAATAATCAGGGGTTTCCATTTTATTAGAAATTACACAGTAATACAGGAAGGTTAGAGATCTCATTGCAAAAAACAAAACTACTCTATGAAATTTAACTACTTTAATATCTTGAATCAAGTAATCTCATAAAATGTAAAATTCTCTTTTAAAATTATAGACCTGTCAATTTTGAATGATATATTTTACTCCTTATAAACTGATAAAATACTCATTGAGTTTTCACATTGTAATATTGCAATAGAGAAAAGCTGGTTTTATCCTCCTTCAGTAGTTTGAAAGAATGTTCTAGATATAATAGCAAGAAAAGCACAAAAGGGGCTATTTTGTCATTTTTAGCCATTTAAGTCAAATGGAAAATGGAATAGTCTTATATATTTGTATAATATAAAATCTTCTAAATATGAAATATGACCAATAAATATCCAAGACAAATATATTCAACTCCCTAAATTATCAACATTGCTAAAACATCTGTTGTATTAAAAATGTTTTATATTTCTTCTCCCTTTAAAACTTCACTACTCAAACTTCCTGTATTGGTTTTAAAAAAATGCTGCATATTGTGGTAAGAGTTTCAAGGAAATTGCAGTTAAAAAAATTGAATGGAAGATACCGTCAGCCTTGGTTCTTCTATTTGCTGAATTAAGAAAGATAACTGACCAAATTTTTTTCTTGGTTTTTAACCTAATACATGATTAATTTTTTCCTTAGAGAATAATCAAAGGGAAAACTGAAAAACTTTCATTATGTAATAGTCAAAAGGGGAACCCTGTGAAGGTGACTAAGAGTGCTCTCACTGAGTGTGTTAGGGCAGATTCATAAATGGGCCTTCTGCACACTCCGTTATAAACCATGTTGTGTCTTGAACAGAGTTTGCCCTGAAGAAGCAGTAAGATGGGGTGAATCATTTGAAAAACTGCTTTCCCATAAAGGTTAGTAGTATTTTTCCCAAATACTTACTCCTTAATGGAAAATTATAGAAAGTATGCATGTGACTATACCACCAAGGCTGTAATAAAGATTGAGTCTGATTGATAATTTACAGCAATCTGAGTTTCAGATCAACAGAAATCACGAAATAATATGGTAGTCCACTAATGGAAAATATTGTTTTAGTTAGTCTCACTTTGTTAAGATTTATTGTGGTTGAAATAGCATTTCTTTGTGCTGTGGTTAATAGTTTCAAATTTTAATTCTTTTTTTGATTTTTGAATGAGACCCTTGGTTTTATGAAATCCCAGATTATCCGTGTTATTTTTATTGTTAACAGGGGTGAAATTTAACGTAATCCCTTTAATGGACATTCAGGAAACCCTCATGAAAATAGTTTCCTTTAATTTTATATGTGCTTTATTCTTCATATCTATTGTCTGTTTTTAAAGCAAAACTTTCTCAAAGTGGAGAATCAGGTGGGTATGTTGAGGTGGAGCTCGGCGGCTGAGGTGGCAGGTTAGGACTAACACTCAGCGCCCGTTTGACTGTCTTGCACTGTGACACAGCGTGGAGGACAGGCTTTAGGGCCAGTTCGCAGACGGCAGCGGGCGAGCAAGCTCCCTTGGTCTTCCCTCAGTCATGGCCTTCTTCCGGGCGGGAGGACCACCTGAGCTACGCTGAGCAGAGCAGCAGTGGGGCTGGGCAACCACAGGGTCCCTCCATCCTGCACTGCTTAAGCAGCCACGCTTCCTCATCGCCAAGTATCCAAACACCCCTCCAGCCCACAGCCTTCATCTGTATCTCCAAGTTTCCCTGTTCTTGCCTCATTCTTTGAAACCAAAGGCCTACCCAGCAATTCCCCAGGTGAAGCTAACCAGGCCACTCGAAGATTGTTTGCAGCATTGGGGTGGGGTTCGCATTCTAGGGGGTCCCCTGGAAGATGGGGTTATGGTTCGGGGGGCAGCTGGGAGGGCCATAATTTGGCCCTCAAGGACTGCAGTCCATCTGGGGGAACGTTCCTTTCCTTGTCTGTCTGCATTTTCTGTGTTTCTTCTCCTCCCCAACTGCCTATCCCTGCATGAGACTTAGGTGGCAGGGTCACGTTCCCTTGAATTTAGTGGCCTAAAAATCCTATTTCTGCAGACGATTCCAAAAGATTTTCCCTCTTCCAACCAAAACAGATTCTGCCTCTGAATTGTAATATTGACTCAGAGAAAGAAAAATGGAGGTAGAGAAACAAAGCCTTAAATTTAGGCAAGGATGTAATCAATGAAGATGACGGACAGTAAGTAGTAAGAAGGGATATTTATGCTGAGAAAATATAGCTTGTTCTGTTTCCTCTTTATTACCCTATTAGTTAATACGCTATCACTCCCTTTGAGAAGAGGAAGGTAAACAGTTTTCCTCAATTACTCACTTTTCTTCATTCCCTATCATTTCTGAACTACAGTTAAAATTCTTGCTAAATATATGCCAAACCTGGCCCATCCTCACTAATTCCACCGCCACTAAATTTATCAGCTAAAACTCATCACAGCAACCTGCGTAAAACTTGCCTCCATAATTCATGCCCCCCAGATGTGCTTTATTAAAATTTTTTCCAATCATTTCCAATATTTTGGCACAGCCCACCCTTTCACAAGGGGAGAAGGCAGAGTGGAATTCAGCTATCTGTAACTTGACTGTTATAGGGAAGGTGCCTCCTCAGCTGTGAATCACCTAACCCGGAATCTCACCTGGTAAATATTAAGAGCTATTAAGTGCTCAACTAATATAACCAAAATTGTTGCGAGGAAGTTAGCCCCGGGTCCCTTTGAGCTCTGAGTTCAGGTTCCCTCTGCAAGGTAAGGGGTGTGTGATCCTAGTTAAGCTTCCTAATCATTCTGACCTTCCGCCTGCTCTATGGTAAATGGAGGCAACCGTGTCTTCAGCTCCCATGGAAACAAATTTCCATCAGCGTTAATGAGACAGCCAATAATACACCAATGACAGCTTGAAGCTACACAAATGTAAATGTTTACCACTCTTAGGAAAAACAGCAACAATTAATATTAACTACTGTTTTCTGTCCTCCAGTCCAGCCCTCACTGGATAAATATCACGGACAGGGCTAAACTTCAGCTGTAATAAATACATAAGCTGGATCTATTCCTTTAACCTAATAAATGGGTGCATAATGCTTCCATGACACTCCCACAGCCCATTCAGAGAGAAGAAAGGTTAGCAAGGGTCCTTGGTCCTACAGAAAACCGTGCCCTGGCAGTCCGTAGCCATTCTATTTTACAAGAGGTCAAAACCAAACGGAAAAATAAATAAATCTGCCCTTTCTCACTGGTGAAAATACTACAGAGCTGTGAAACAACAGTGCTTTGAACCAAGAGGCGGCAACATGGGTAACAAAAAATCAGCACTGACCCACCTGGACAGTATTATCAGCACTCAGGCTCAAGCTGCTAATTAAACTATATTGAATTCACCAAAAATCATGGACTGGTATGCTTTTAATCTGTCCTCAAAAATTCAATTACTTCAATCGCAAAGCTTATTATAACATTAAATTATAAAGCTTAAAACAATCAGCTAAAATAGTCTTTTGGTGGCAATGGTTAAATTCAGTTAATTTCTACTGACTTGACTCTAGGCCAAAGGAGGGGAAGAAGAAAAGACCTTACACTTGTGTATGTACACACATGCAGTACACGCTTCAGGAAAGACCTTGCTCTATCAAATTTTATAGAATTTCCCTTTGGTTAAATGTTTCTCAAATCCTGTATGTCATAGCTATAAAAAGTAAAAGGAAATTGTATTAAATTTAGTCAAATGGGACATGAAATGATAAACAAAATAGAATTTGAGTATTCAGCTTGACAAAATGGCTGATATTAAAACCACTGGAGACTGATTGTTTGTATCCTTAGAAATGGAACCATGGCAGAGACAGTTCTTACTCTAGATTCTAGGGGATTCACCAAAATTCACCATCTGGACAAGGAGGAAAAGAGAACATCCAAGCAGTGAGCCAGTGCAGGCATGGGGAACTAACCAACCCAATGAATTTAGGGAACTAATAAGAAGTAACTCCTTGCTGTGAAACAAAGTTTGAAAAAAGGTGGCATAAGGTAATAGAGAAGACAGAGGTGAGGCTACAATAGAGAGAGAAGGTTTTGCTGTGAAACCAAAAAAAAAAAAAAAGAAAGAAATCCATACAGCAATTTGTTTTTTGTATTTTCACTAATTTACTTAAATATCATTCTTAAAATGTCATTTAATTCTTTGAAATTTAAGAAAATACAGTACATAAAAATCCCAGGAAATCTAAACAATGTTTGGACTTTAATAGTAATAATGTACCAGTATTTCATAATAGCTGGAAACTGAACATGGGGGGTATGCCAACTGTACTATCTCATAACTTTTGTATAAATCTAAATCTATTCTAAAATAATTTTAAAAAATAATCGCAAACATATTATTTAGTTAATTATTGGAATTCTTCAAAAATTTAACTGCTATTCCCCGTTTGTTTCTATGAAGATACAATTTTTCCTGCCATCCCTGTTTATTGGCAAATTAGTCTGTAATTGCAAAATGAATCATAAAAATCTATCATTTAGCCACAGTTTCTAAGTGTTTAGTAAAAACAAAAAGCATAAATAGAAAAACTAACAAGACTCTGTCATTCATATCATCAATTTCAAATCTAGTCATCAGTCCTCTCACTGATTGTCTTTATGAAAGTAAATGCTATTAATACAATGTTAAATCAATAGAATTATTCATATATTATGCTCACACATACGTATGTGTGTTGTGTACATTATATGTGTATGGTTTGGTGTAAAACATCTTTGAAAGATACTTTAAAATACTGCTGCTGAATATACATACTTCGGAAAACAACTAAATACATGAAAAATGTTAAACTTGTGAGGTATCATGTGGGCTTCAGGAAACCATTACAAGAGATTACATAGATGTGGGCAAGATTCCAACAGGCAGAAGTAAAGGTAAGTTTTGAGCAGAGAAAAGGGAATGGAAAGGATTTGAGAAATACCACATTTTTCAGGTGCAACCTGAAAAAGCAAGCAGTTCACTTTCCTTGAGGCGGAGAGTAGCCAACAAACAGACTGGGAGATCAGGTTGGGCACAAAGTTGGGAAGAGTTTGTTAGAAAGCTACCGACAGGGTGCAGAGGTAGGAATCTGCGCATTTGATGCGGGTGACCTCCAGGGCTGTTAGAGACAGAAAGGCTCCCCTTGAGGTAAGGGTTGTTTTGGAAAGAAAATGGGTGAACGTGGTCACTCACTGTGTGTGCACATATCCTGTAAAGTAAGGTGATGAAGAAACAAGAGATGAAAAGAAAAAAAAAGATGAGCTAAAGATCCACAGGTTTTAGTCTATAATAAGAGGCAGATGGCGGTGCCTTTTATGGATGAGAATTGGAGGTGAAACGACATTTGTGAGGAGACGCCAGGCTGGAGTTTGAACTGACTTATTTGCCGGAAACTTAAGCAGAAGTTCTGCAGGGGGTTGGAGGCGCAGCTAGGCTGTGAAAGAGGCGTAGCTGTAGCAGAGATCCCGCCCCATCTCTCAGAGTTCCTAACTGACATGGAAGAGAACTTCCTGTGAAGGGGTCCCCATCAACAGGGCGTCTTCCGACTATGACAGCGCTGTCTACTGTCCTGTGCATCCTTTCCTCTCCCATGGCAAATAATTCCACTATCTGAAAGTTTTTATTAATGCTTTTTGCTTGAAGGTTCTGCACCCTGAACTGTGGTTCTACTAAGCTTAATTTTGAGAATAATGTACCATAGATAAGATAGAAGTAAAATGTGTACACGTCATTGCATCCCCTTGATTTAAAAGTGTACACTGACTAGACTGTGGAAAATCCGTATTACTGACATTGCGGAAAGGCTACAAGGAAATGCGCACGTCTGTTTTGAGGAAGGAAATGAGTGCTTCTCCTTACACATTTCACCTAGTGGCTTTTGCAGTTG